AAAAAACCTTTCCCCTTTGGGACTTGGGCAGGATCCCTCACCCCCCAGCGGGGGTCACTCAAGACCTCCCCCCTTCTCCCCCGACAGAGCCCCAAACTTATTACCCAGGGCCAGGTCCTCCACCTCAAGAGAGGAGGCCGACCCTGCAGTGGAGAGGCAGGCCTATTCCGCCTCCTCACCACTGACCACTGACCACTCGCTGTCCTCCTGGGCCTTATCCTGCCCACTCTGAACAGGACCCTGGTCCTCCTGGGGAGCCCCCCCTGACCTACCCCTCCGCCTACGAGGAAGAAGGACCGGGGGAGCCAGTACGACAGGCCCAGATTTTGCCTCCACCACTCCCGCCCCTTTGGCAGCCTCTGCCAACTTCCTCCCTCCCTTAGGGGCAAGAACCGGTACCACAGAAGGAACTACAGGAGCCACTACTGTATCTGACTCAACCGGGGCAACTACAACTGAAGACACCTCAGACCCATCCTCCCTGCCTCCAGAAGCTGCTGCAGAGGCCAAGCTGGCCCTCTCCGTCACCAATTCAGCTTCCTCAGCATCCATACGGTCTAATTCTGCAGCTAGCTCATCCTCCGGTAAATTTCGGAGGGCCTCCGGGCACTGATTATATGAGTGCCCCGTGGTGCCACACAGATTACATTTTTATTACATTGCAGTCCTTAGCCAGGTGACCAATCTCTTGGCATAGTGAACACCTGATGACTGGACAAGTGGCTGCAAAGTGCCCCTTAGCCCCGCACCTATGGCACACCCGGGGCTGACCAGCATAGAACACGATCAACCGGTCCCGCCCCAGGAAGGCAGAGGAGGGGATGTGTTGTAAGACATTACCCTCCACCCTCAGACGAACATTGGCCGTCCACCCACCCGTCCATATTTTCCTGTCATCCAGGATTTTCTGCAGAGGCCCCAAGACATCTCCAAACCTTCCCAACCAGACAACAATATCGGAAACTGGAATTCACTCGTTCCTAACCAGAATCGTTACTTTTTTGATGACATTCTGGCGAGAAACAAGCTTGGTAGTTAGCCCCTCCCACCTAGGACTACGGGCATAAGTGAACTCATATTTCTGCCAAAAAAGATCGAATAGGTCAGCCCTCGTAAAGGATAGATCATATTCGCCCGTCCCCACAATAAAGGCAAATATGCCCACCGCAGGGAAACCCATCTCCAAGATGCGGTCAATGACCTTTCTACGCCCCAGGGATGGGCCCGTCCCTGTCCACTTAAGCTGCACTACATTCCTACGCGCAGCTGACATAGGCAGGTTCCCTGCCCGTGACTGGGGTACCCCCAAGGCCCCCTGACCCCCCCTTAACACTGCTGAGTAACTCAAAGCAGGTCTTGACACAGGAACCTCAGCCACAGCAGGACCAGACACCTGGGGACCTGCAACCGGGGCAACAGAAACCTGGGGATTTAGCCCGGGCAGGCCCTGCTCAACAGCAGCCTGGGCCCTAGGACCCTCATCACTGACAGGGGGACACACCACAACAGACCCTTGCACAGCCTGTCCACCACCATGCAAAACACCCGGGACCCCCCCCAAGGGACTGTGCTCAGATAAGACCTGAACCGGGGCCAAGACCGGGACAGATACACCATCCCCAGGAACCTCAGCAGGGACCCGTTCTACAGACACAACAGCCGACACTTTACCAGCCTCCCCCGCGACATCAGCCGCTTCGTTCCCCAGTCCCCTGGAGTCCTGCGGTACGTCCTCCGCCAGCGGTTCCCCCGCTTTCGCCAGCAATTCACCTTCCACAGAGCTAGGCATCCGTTGCAGCTTCACAAACATGGCCCGCTCCCACAGAACAGGTCTTAATGGCTTCCATGACGTCACTTCCGCTTCCTCCTCCTCTGACTCGGCCGACGTGAACCGGAAGTTGTCCGCCCGATATTCCAGCCCTGTCTCCATTGCAAAGCAGAGCTCTCCCACAGCCTCCGCCTCCTCCATCTGTGAACCCCAATCGGCTGGCTGCTGCTGCCGGGGGGGGGGGGAGGGAACCAGAATCTCCCATGTCCTCACCGGCCTCGGCGTTTTCCTTATTAGGAACTTCACTCTGCTGGGTAGATGCAGTGTGCTCAGGCACCTGCTTCTGCTCCCCATCGGTCAATGGCGTCTCCGACAGCTCCTCCATTGAGGAGACAATCTCAACTGGGCCCCTCACAGCAGCCACTCTTCTGCTCCTTGCAGCCTTGAAGCGGGTCTCGTTCTGATACTTCTCCCTTAGTACTCCACTCTTCTTTTTCAAGGCTGCCACATACTTGCTTTGGAGGGCCACCCGCTTTTCCAATGCCTCCAGGCCTGGCTTCATCAACTGGCGTTTTGTGCTCCAGACTCTGTCATATGACTGACGGAACTTTTTAAGCTCCAGACTCAATTTCTCCAACTTTGTTTCCTCCTTCTCTATCATGCTGATACGGGTTACCAACCGGTCGCGGTACACGCTGCCATCTTCCCCCTTCCTTGGGGCTGTTCCCAGGTCCTCTATGGCTGGAAAATCGCGACCGGTACTAGGCTCCTCCAGGGGCATATCAACGCTGGACCCAAGCCCAGGATCCGCCATCCTCCCTGGGCTGGGCAGGGCACTTTAGCCCCAGGCTTCTCAGGCCTACCTGGAGCTCAGCAGAGCACAGTCCAACACAGCCTCTCCACACGCTGTCAGGAATGACTCACCACAGGGCTCACCTGTGGTGATCCAATGCCTGATGACCCAGTGCCCGCTGTCGTGCCTGATGACTCGATGCCCGCTGTCGAGCCAGACGATCCAATGCCTGATGACCCAGTGCCCGCTGTCATACCTGGTGACCCGATGCCCGCTGTCGAGCCAGATGGCCCGGTGCCCGCCGCTCCACTTGGGGGCCGGTGCCTGCCGCCCTGCCTGGGGGCCCAGTGCCCGCCGCTCTTCCTGGGGGCCCGGTGCCCGCCGCCCTGCCTGGGGGCCCGGTGCCCACCCCTCCGCCTGGTGGCCCGGTGCCCGCCGCTCCGCCTGGTGGCCCGGTGCCCGCCGCTCCGCCTGGTGGCCCGGTGCCCGCCGTTTCGCCTGGTTTGCCCGGTGCCTGCCGCCGTGCCTGGTTGCCCGGTGCCTGCCGCCCTGCCTGGGGGCCCGGTGCCTGCCGCCCTCCCTGGGGGGCCCGGTGCCCGCCGCTCCGCCTGGGGGCCCGGTGCCTGCCGCCCTGCCTAGTTGCCCGGTGCCTGCCGCCCTGCCTGGTTGCCCGATGCCCGCCCCTCTGCTTGGGGCCCGGTGCCTGCCGCTCCGCGTGGGGGCCCGGTGCCCGGCGCTCCGCCTGGTGGCCTGGTGCCCGGCGCTCTGCCTGGTGGCCCGGTGCCCGCCGCTCCACCTGGGGGCCCGGTGCCGCCGCTCTGCCTGGTTGCCTGGTGCCTGCCGCTCTGCCTGGTTGCCCGGTGCCTGCTGACCTGCCTGGTTGCCCGGTGCCTGCCGCCCTGCCTGGTTGCCCGGTGCCCGCGCTTCCGCCTGGGGGCCCGGTGTCTGACGCTCTGCCTGGGGGCCCAGTGCCTGCCGCCCTGCCTGGTCGCCCGAAGTGCCTCCGTCCGGTGCCCAGCCCGAAGTGCCTCCGTCCGGTGCCCAGCCCGAAGTGCCTCCGTCCGGTGCCCAGCCCGAAGTGCCTCCGTCCGGTGCCCAGCCCGAAGTGCCTCCGTCCGGTGCCCAGCCCGAAGTGCCTCCGTCCGGTGCCCAGCCTGAAGTGCCTCCATCCGGTGCCCAGCCCGATGTGCCAGTCTTTGATATCCCGCCAGTCACCGGACCCAGGCGGTGGAAAATTTTGCTCAGCTAGGAGTGTTTGGAGCGTCCTGAGGCCGCTCCTTGAGGGGGGGATACTGTCAGGAATGGACTTGTCAATAGTGGTGGGAGATTTTTTATTGTAAAAAAATCTTGCAACCAGCATACATTTTCTTTATAAAGTACAAATAAATAAATAAATAAACACATGGCCACACATCCGGCCTTAAAATACAATTACACCAAGGTTACTTCACCATGAAAGAAAACGTATCATAAAAGGAAATGCAAACACATTTCAAAACAAAAAAAAAAAAAAAAAAAAAAAAAAAAAAGGCCTTTATGGCTTTATTACTAAATAGCTATATTGGAGCCTTTCAGGCGCTACCTATAACACTATAACAGTAACAATACATAAATCCAAGGCTAAGAAAACATAGATCTTCGGATGCACAAAAGCCTCTCTTAAAAATTCTTCTTCACAAATCTAGGGGAGTAAACACACAGGAAGAAAGAAAGAACAGAATCCACACCCAGAGATCAACAGACTGCGACTACAGACCTGATATTCCTCCACGCCTTTATCCAGGCCTTCGCCGCAGCCTGTCTTTCTCAAGACCCGAATTTTCCCAACCTCACCAAGAATGTCATATCACCACCAACCGAAACAGGAAGGACTTTCTGCCGAAGGGAGACCTGACACCGTGCGTTCCAGGTGAAATATCGGACCACTAGACCAACTAAAATAATGAGTGTCAAAATCAAAACCCCACACGTCTTTCAAAAGCCCCATATACCCACTCCGCATAAGACATTCTGCGGTGCAGGAACGGATGTCTAGAGCCCTCCCCACCTCTTTGTACACCTCTATATTGAAGGGCACTGAAGCAAGAAAATGGTCCATAGATTTCCACTTCACCCCACACTCGCCCTCGGACAACCGCGGTCATCCAGGAGAACGGAACTTCAAGTTCCCCCTCCCCACATATAGCCTGCCATGGAACGCAAGCCCAGGTCCTGGTCCCTAAATTTCAAGGGAATCCTTTCCATGTTTATCAATCTTAAACCCTCCCGCAAACTATGGCCTGGGCAATCCTTCAAGGGCCAGAGGTGCATGAAAAAACGGTGGCCACGACCCTCTCCCTGAGAGATCTCCCAGGAAGCGATCTTGACCTCCTCCGCTGTCACACACCCACGCCTAAGAATTTTCAAGCTCGGGGCAACATAAGCCGGGAGGCTTTACCGTGCTTGGACTCTCAGGCTTTTCACTGGCCCGCCACTCTCCCAACAGTTCAGAAAAGGTCTAAATCTCACATCAGAAATAAACCTACCCATGCAGGCGGCCCTCTCTTTCAGCATGTTACCAAATATTAGTTTAATGAACATTACAGAGAAGAAAAAACGATCGGGTTGACCATTCCTAAGCCACCCTCCCCGCCTGGGTCTCGATAGGTCACATTCCGCTTCACGAGGTTCAAGCCTGTTTCCCCATAATAGCTGGAAAAAACAGCTGTAGACCCTTGTGTAGAGAGACTCTGACAAGAGACAGACATAACTGACGTACAAAAAGACCGGAATCAAGTAAGTCTTAATTAGGTCGACCCTTTCCCTTAAGGAGAGCCGCCACCCTTCCAGCATCTCACCTTGACATCGGCATCAGACAACCTGGATTCCCAGTTTTTCTTTACCATAATCATCAGGGCCAAAAGTGATGCCTAACACTTTTGATCTTCGGGACTGGGGCACTGGGAAGGCTTTCCGGAAGTGAGAAGTTCTCACCATCCCTACCCATCCAGAAAACTTCACACTTGTCACGATTAATCTTGGAGCCTTGATGCCTCCGCATACTGCTCCATCTCCGAATACCACCACCTGCGCCTCCTCAGCCCCAGAGATAAAAAACAGACACATCATCAGCATAGGCTACAACCTTCAAAGGCGGCTCACCAGTTTGCGCCCACCAGCACACCCAGCCAAAAACCCCGCCATCTAGCCTCCTGATGAAGGGGTCGATGGCAAAAGCATAAAGCAAGGGGCTCAGCGGACACCCCTGGCGCACACCCTGAGCCTACCCTGAAAGGCTGCCCACCCAACCGTTAACCAGCATGAAGCTCTCTGCCCCTTTGTACAATGTCTTTAGCCATCCAATGAACCTCCCTTCAGGCCATACCGGTCAAGGAGACGCCAGAGGTACTCGTGGTCCACCCGATCAAACGCCTTAGCCTGATCCAGCGCCAGCAAATACTTCCCCACTGCCATCAGCCCTGCAACGCTCCAGAACCACTCCGGACAGCTAACACCAGCTGAGAAAACGGTTACTTCTGCCCTGGAGCCGAACAGTGCTGATGTTGTGAAAGCAACTCGTCTGCCACTGACGACAAGCGCCAGAAAAGAAATCTTGGCCAAAATCTTTCTATCGACGTTGAGAAGGGTGATGGGCCGCCAATTCTCAATCCGCCGAAGGGTCCTTACCCTTTGACAACAAGATTTACAGCCGAAACTCCTCCTCTTGGAGGCGTGGAGTGAGCCCTCATCATCAAGACAGCTATTAAAGACCTCCGCGAGAACGGGTGTGCCAAGCTGGACTTGAAGATCTTAAAAATTCAGCTGTCAAACCATCCGGCCCAGGCGTCTTCTTGATGGCCAGACTATTCCTATGGCTTTTGGCAACCTTCGCAGCCTGTAATCTCACCTGTCAAATTTCGAGGGGCAAACACATTATTTTCTAGACCTGGCCGTAGACTCCAAGAAACTCAAACATCCTTGCCTGGTCGAGGGCTTCCTCCTCCAAAAGATCTTTATAAAAAAAGCCCTGCGAGACCTCCCAGATTCCCGCCCTGGATTTTGTCAGGGACCCTGTACGTGTCCCGTCTCAGACTTCAGTGCTCATCTCTAAACCGCTATAAAAATTAAAACCTTGCTTGCAATGTCCATGGTAAGGGTCAGGTGAATGGTAATTTTCCCATAGTACCCCTCTTCCAGTAACCAAGGGAGGCACATGCCGATCATATTGATATTTTCTGAGGAGAAGTAATAAACCTCTGAGATTGCCCCAAGAACCTCCACCATCATAGATCACAGGCCGATCGATGATTCCTCACTCAAGGCCGTTGGTAGGTAACATATTTATATCATATTTGTTTCCCCCTCTTACCCTAGGGCCTTGAAAAACCTGCGGCAATCCGCACTCTTGGTAAGCTCCCGCCATTCTGACTTATTGTCCACAGAGAATCCCAGGGTGGATGGTCTCCATGAGCCTGGAAAAAAAATCCCCCTCGACAAGGATCGTCTCACACCTCCTCATCGTCCAGCAGGGGACGAATTCAATCTCCAGAGACACCGCCTCCCCTTCTGTAGAGTATCTTGCAACATTCCAAAGAACACAGTTTAGCAAAAAGGTGGTCAGAGAATTCCACTGCCTCTGACACACATGGTGCCGAGAAAGCGGAGTACCCCTCCCTTTAAAAAAACCTGTCTATTCTTCTACTCTCACTCCTACCCAACCTCCGCCTAAGATGTGAACCACCCGAGCTGTCCGGGCTGCCACTTTAATCTAAGGCATCCTCCAGACCTCTGCTTCCCTGACCTATCGCATTTAGGAAAAACACCGCTGTCATATCACAGCCTGTCATTTGGAAGCCCTTTTCCCGTCTGTTTGGGCCTAGTCACGGTGTTGAAATCACTCCAAAGACACCTGCCGGATTGTAAAAAGGAAAGGCTTATCCTTGTAAAGAGGCATTTCCTGTCCCACTTTGACTGGGGGCAATAATCTTTAATGAGCCTCAGCTCCTGCCCCTTCACAAGGAGCGTCCAAGACATGCATCTTCCGACCTTCACTTCAATGGACCAGCGACACTGTTACCATGCGGAAAAAAAAAGCACCGCAATCTCCGCTGTTAAGGCTCGGCCGCAAGAGACAGAAGGAGGGACCACAAACTCCTCCCTCTTTGCCGGTGGATTCGGGGAAGGCACTCAAGCCGGGGCTCCGCAAAAAAAAAATGTCAGAAAACACCACTGAGCAAAAAAAAGGCCCATTCTTAGCACTCACAGCTTTAGTGGGGAACATTAAAAGGGTTTCCACTTTAACGGGCGGGGAATCCATTAAGGTAATTGAGGG